AAACGATGCTTCCCACGTCGGTAGGTAAAGGAGGTTGCTTCTTTCAGATTTCCCCCATTTATGCTGATCTTTGTCTGTTGCTGTTGGCCAGCAATCTTTATCACCTCTGTTCACCTGACAGCTTATCTTCTCTGGATGCTTCTTCTGCCAACTTGTTGCTTTCCACTTGCATGTCTTCCGGTTTGTGGGAAATCAGACAAATATCATTGGCGAAGTCTAGATCCTCCAAGTGTTCTGTGTGGGTTCATTTTATGCCTATTTCCTTGCTGCCCGCTGTCTGTCGCATTATCCAGTCTTGACAAGAATTCATAGTGCACTGTGATGGATTACAAGCCACCAATTCTGATTCTGGCCACATCACAAACTTGTCGTCTAATAGAATTCATTCATTTATAAAGTTATATTTGTAAAATCTCAGCGACCTTCAAGAAAGTCTTCTTCCTTACATCCAAACTTCGAGCCGACTGAGTGAAGTAATGCTGCTGTCAGTCAGAGACGTGAGTCACCACTGAGCTAGCTATTCGAGCTCGCCATCCACCTCCTGTAGGACTGTAATGGATACTCTGATTCGACACTAGGAAGTAAGTAAGTAAGTAGGAAATATCATGCGCGTCCAGTTTTCACTTTGGTGCAGACTGAATGGATTCTATTAGACGACAAGTTTGTAATGTGGCCATAATCAGAATTGGTGGCTTGTAATCCATCACAGTGCACTCTGAATTCTTGTCATTCCTTGATGATTGGAGACAATCGTGAGGAAGGAAGGCCAGCTTCAGCCAACTAGGCTATGTGCTTGTTGGCACTGGCCACACAGTCACGCAGATAACAAGCATTTATTGAATCAATGTCTGCCTAAGCAATGCGTATCTGCACTGCAACCATGTTGAAGCAACTCATTTCATGTGCCTTACTTTGAGATTCGAAGCCGACCGAGTGAAGCAGTGCTGCTGTCAGTCAGAGACGTGAGTCACCACTGAGCTAGCTATTCGAGCTCGCCATCCACCTCCTGTAGGACTGTAATGGATACTCTGATTCGACACTAGGAAGTAAGTAAGTAAGTAAGTAAGAAATATCATGCGCGTCCAGTTTTCACTTTGGTGCAGACTGAATGGATTCTATTAGACGACAAGTTTGTAATGTGGCCCGCGTGAAAATTGATAAATTGGCAGTTCAAACCGTTTACGTCATCAGTGTAAGCTCTCGGTTTGCAGCAAAATTACTTAACAGCTTTCTGTGAAATTCCAGTCAAGTCTTTTTTGTAAGATGTTTCTTTGTACCTGTTTCACGACTAGCTGACATTCCAAACTAACTGTGTCAATAGGTTGGTTGTTGATAAAAGCTTGAGATTATTGCAACGGTATTACTAGTTATCATGGGTTATTTCTCAGCGTAGGTGATTGGAAGGGTGGTGAGTACATTTTTGTGTACTGTGAGGATAAATTTAACTGGCTTACACCGACGCTCAATGTCCCAGTGCTCAACACCTACTTGAATGGGATGTTGACGTCGGTTTTCTCTACTCGAAAACGAAGCAGGGCAGCATGACCCGATGGTATGACTCCAGGAGTGTTAAAGGATGGTGGTGATGAACCGTCTGACTTGGTTAACCAAGATATTCAATGTTCGGTAATCAGAAATAGTTATATTTGATTTGTGTAAGTCGTTGATTATCGCAGTTTATAAGCAAAGTGACAATTTCTGCCGTGATAATCATATAGGAATTGACTTGACTAGTGGAGTATCGGAGCTCAGGAGAAGAATACCCGTGAAAACCAAGTAGGCTTTATGACCAGACAAAAGTGCATTTCTTATATCTTCACTTTTCAACGTACTATGGAACATACTCATACCAGCGTCCAATACTTGTCATATTTCTTAACCTGAAGTTGATATTTAAATGCGTTGGCTGAGTAATGTTCCGACTATGTCTGGCCGTAAAGGGAGTGCTGTCTCATTAATTAAGCCATTCTACTCGGACTGACACTTTTGTGTTAGAGCTTGTGAAGAGTTGTCATCTTAAGTGATGACAACCAGTGGTGTTTACATCAGGTGTGCACTGTATCTCCATTTTTGTTCAATTTCATCATAGATTTACTAATGGAATTGTGACCGTAGCTGACTTCAGCGACTTAGGTATAGACCTGTTATCAGAGAACAGCTTCATTGATTTAGGGTGTGTAAATGGTATAGTCTTTCTAGTTGAAGGCATTTTTCCAGGGCTACTGAAGAAAGACTATACCTTATTACGCAGGATGTTAAAGGTTGTCAGCAGGGTAAGCAACGTGCCACTTAACCAACCAGCTTGTTAATATTCTGGTCGACAGGCACTTGGACTCATGTGAAAAATGGGCTAAATCCATTTTATCTAACTCACACCACCCTCTTCATTCACAACTTTCCCCTTGTATCTCATCAGGCAAAACCAGAAGCCTATATAGGAAACTATCTGCTCGCACTGGCAAGTACAAAAACTCAACCATACCCTACTTAGCTCGTGTTCTGTGCGATAAAGAAAGCATTAGGCGTGATACCTATAACATATTAAATAGTCAGTAGAACAACTGGATCTCGTCTTTCCAACTCATATCATTTATGGGTACAACGTTTTCTTTCTTTCTTTTCCTTTTCTCTCTCTCTTTTTGTTTTGTTATAAGCTGCTTTGTTTCTTTCTTCCTTACAAACTCTATTAAAACATTCTTCGTTCTCTCACACTCTGTATATCTCGACCTTTTGTTACCGCTGACGCCAGTAAATATGCTAGCATCTACTTTTCTAACACCTTCAAACACTCTGTTCAATTTTGGCTTTGCTACCGACATGCAAATGCGTTGTTGTCATAATGGACTGAGATTTCCGTAATCTATGTAGAACTTTATTGTTAATGTACCAACTGGATGCAATACTGTAGTGGATTGCTGAGAATTCCATTCTGTATCACAAGTACTGTTTTGGAATAAAGCAAATTATTATTATTATTATTAATACATGAAGGGATTTCGATAAGAAGATCGAGGTTTACCCAGCCTTAGTCGTATCATATTGGTTATGGCGACTGTTTGGGACTTCACCTGATTGATAAATTAGTGTGGGATTACATCCTACCACAGCGTTCAAGATTCCACACAAGGAGTGATGAAATATATGATTTCTTGTTAAAGTGTCAAGGTTGTATTCAGACATTCTCTTTGGTTCTGTTCTACACTTGTGTAACAATCGTCACCTCTTCCAACGCTATCATAATTCGGGGTGGGGGTATGACCCATTGGTTAGAGTCCAATTCCAGCTTCTCTAACCTAGGGGTTTGGATGGTATCAGTAGCCCTCATACGGTAAGTGGGATTTATGTCTTCGCACATAGAAAAAACTACTGTGAGACATAGCCACTGAAGGTGGAAAATCTGAAGAGGTTAGCTGTCTTTGACTACAGATGTCTGCGTCCTCTCTCGTGTGTTAGATGGTGGTGTAGTATGGTGTTGGGCGTAGTGTTAGGTAAGGAGGGGAAGTTAATCAGTCAATCCGAATATGAAGCTGTTTTGAGGCAAGTTGGTAGGACACGTAATGGGCATGCTGAGCCACCACTTTCTCCATCGAACAATATCTCACAACCCATGAAGATAACCCAATAATTACGTGTACACACGTTTGTGTTGAAGCTGGTCTTGATGATCCCAACTGATAGTTGCTACTTTGATCTGTTTGTCGTCGAATTCACGTGGATTCCACTATCTGTCGAGGAGCTATGCCGTCTGTAATTAATGTTCCTGCATGCCCTCCATAATGGTTGTTTCGATGACTGTTAGACTAAAAGCAGTTACCACCATATAGTATAAGTCGGTTACAGTATGTTGAAGGAAGTTTGAGGGTGAAGATGTACTGCTGGCGAGTAGGGATGTAACAGCAGTAATTGGTTAACTGGACGTACGTTGATAAGGCCGGTCGCGCTCACGAATGGAATCGGAACGGGAAACGGCGAAATGGGCGTCGGTCAAAGTGTGGCATAGAGGAGATCACGTGGCGAAGAGGGGATGAAAGCTTAATGGGACAATCTGAGAGCCAGGTAAAAGAAATACTTCAAAGAGCAGGGTGAGATTGAGATGCGCCTACTACTGATGATGCTCTTGTCTTCACTCGCAATCGAAGGGAATAATAATAATGATAATTATTAGCTGACTCCACGATTGCCCATAGGCCCTAATCTCATCACGCGATCTCTATGTCACCTCGAACCACCAGCGCGTCGGTTCCTGTTCGGGACTCGCTCGATGGCCCAGTGCGCGACGTCACCCAACGGTCTCCACAGTGTGTTTCCGACCCATCTTCATTTTATTCGACATATTTTTTGAGTAATAGGTTCTTGATTAGCTCGTTCACAGTGTTTATTGTTGCTAATTCTTTTCAGTTGGCAATCTGATCTTCAATATAGAGCCAGTGAAGGTAGCTGTTGATAAAAGTCTTCAGCTGTAGGTTGGAAATGCTTATCATGACGCCAATACCAAGTTTCTCACCCACATGGAAGAAATGACTGATTGACTTAACATTGGTGTTAAAAATCCGACTTTTTTCTTTATGTTGCGACCGAGTGCAGCAGCAGATTTCCAAACTGATTTCAGAGTGATGAATGTCTGTCTTGCCTCGGTTCATCAAGTGAGAGGGAGAAAGAGAGAGGATTCTCTAGTGGTTGAGCCTCAGTCTGATACTGCATACCTGGCCTTGTTCCTAAAAGGGCAGGTATATGTGTGTTCTGTTCTTTTGAAAACCAGTGCATAAATTCCCAACCAATGGGTGTGTCATTGTGTAATAATAATAATGGTAGTAATGTTAAATTAGTAGATAATACTTCCTCCCTACTCTTCCAGCCTAAAAATGGTGCCCATAGATTTCATCAGTGTCATAGATTAGTGCTACCTATCTGCTGATAAATAAATCGTCGTGCAATGCCTTTTATGCACAAATTTGTGAAACTACTGTATGTAATCATTCCATCTTATTTTTTAATTTCAGATACCGGTAAATTTTTATTGCTTTTTTCACATTAATTATTTATGAAAGAACGTGATAATTATAACAATTCAGATAAATTACCAATGATCCCGATAATAAATTATCAACGTCTGTACGTCGGCTTACGTCGACCATCGTATTCAAGATCCAGTTATCATCAGATTGTAAGTTCCCTCCAAAAATAATATTGTTATTTCTATTTTATCTTTTTTATCATAATATACTTATTACTTATTGTTATTATTCCCTTGGGTTCCGAGTGGCATATAGGGCTTCAAACGCAGCACATTATCTCATTGTGTTCACTCTGAAGTCTTTTTTAGCTGCTCCCATGATCACCCTATTAAGTTTTCATTTCCTCAACCTCCTCATCACATACAATCTCCTCGATATCTTTATCTGTGTTACTGTTCTTTCTGCTTCAATTTTCCGCTTATTCTAGTACTTTTAAATCCTTTTTCTCTCTCTCCCTCTCCATTTTTTTTATTTAGCCTTCGTGTGCTTGATGGAGTGTGCAATCTTTAGCTGCTGCTTTTCTGTGCACTTCTTGTTGAAACTCAGTCAGTCACTAAGCATTATTTTTGAGATAGCCGACGGGATGAGTAAAATCACAGTTCGATAATCATTAAAAACCATGAAGGAGTACTCTGCACAACTGTGTCGTCCTATTTTAGGCCTATTTTTCAGAAATACGTACTCATGACTTTTTTAAGGATCGAACCACAAAGAATATTTCGGGGACTTTAACGGATTTCGTTAGTTTAGTGGCCTAATTTAAAGTCAACTATCTTTTCGTGGGTGTTGACAAAATCACATTTAATTTATCCGGAAGGTGTTCATAGATTGCTCATTCACCCATCGGGGTCCGATCCAATGGCCAGCCCATGAACTCCAGCTATTGCGAATTCGCGGTATGTACCACAGCCTCGAACCAATGTAAATTGGATGAACCCCGCTAGTTACGACTCACTAGAACTGCAGGTGACTTCTTGTAAAGTGCCAGTGTCTAGTGTGCATCAGATTAATCATCAAGTGTTGGTTTGCAGGGATTTATTGGTTACAAGTCTGGTCATGACCTGACGTCAGTTAGAGAACCATTGGAAAACCACTACTGGAGTACTGGATGGCTATTTCGTCCCAGTTTGGGGCACAACGGGTCGTGTGGGGACAAATACTCGCCATCGATGACATTGTCCTAGTGACCGTGCTATATCATGAACTAGCAGAAGTTGGAATTCATCAGCTGGCCTTTGGATCGGGTTTCAGTGGCTTAATGGTCTACGAGCTGGCTCGTCTTGTAATGGAGAGGTCCTGCTTTGGAACCCTTGTGGTGGGAACCATAGATTTCTAGAGTCAAGGCTACAAAACGCATTATTAATTAACTGCAACAGCCAGTTGTAAAATTGCCTGATTCAATCATTTCCCGCAAACAGATGCTTTGTGATATAGTGCTGTCCCCAACCAAACAATGCTTTTGATTAGCACCAACTTCAAGAGTCTCTTTATTATGGTAGTAGTAGTAGTAGTAATCACTTTATTCCAAACAATAATTATACAGAATGGAATTTCTAGCATGGTGTGCATAAATGCAATAATTCAGCTCCTTTTACAAGTAAATTTATATATACTTAAAATAGTAAAAATAATAAAATTCCACTAAAACTGAAGGTTATTAGAAGAATAATATCTACAATAATTAATTGTGGTTATAATTTGCATTTATTTACGGATAAAAAGTAGGTTTATAGAATCTTTTCTGTCGTTTGTCTCGCCGTTCACACAACCGAAACCTTTGGTAAATATGATATAACAAAATGTCTATATTTCTTCTCATGAAATTTCTTCTGGTTCCAAGCTCACGGACAAGATGATTTTGGCTAATTCCTTCCAAGAATTAAAATTTGTCTATTAACAACACCAATGTCAGTTATGATGCCAGAAAGTCTCAACTCCGTTTTTATGTAATAAGTCACACAGAAGATTTTGTGCTGAGAGATCAACAAGATACTAAACGACTAACAACAAAGTTGTGGACAGAAACTAATGTCAAGAAAGTCGAAGATATCGGATTTACCCCCCCTGCCATTGCAGGGTGTCGTCGATATAATAAAAATCATATGATTGAATCTCCCCACGCAAGTCTTGTTCACGTTTGGAACTAAAATCAACAGTGACATATTCAAAGGGATTTAGTTTAAGACCATTTGAGTGTGAGAGACCATTGTTTAACGTCAATCGGGAAAGGATTCATAACAACGAAATTCAGTACAAAAACGGCTGACACAAATTGTCAGTTGATCAGCATACATTTTTTTCTTCCTTCACGTTCCCCAGCGGAACCTAGGGCTTCAAGTTTTCTGTAGCAGTGTTTATTTTACAGGATGGGGTTGCTAGCCTCATGCCCAACCTTTCCTCTTTACCAACATTATTTCTGGCAAAGGAGTGGGTTGGCCGGGATCGAACCCCGGACCATGTGCATGATTGGCGAGCGTCCTAACCACTATGCCACCGACGCGCAGCATACATTTAATGAAATTAACTTTAAAAGAATACTGTAAGTCATGCAAAAGGAAATGAAGAAAGTGCATTACCTTGGTGCGCACATCAGCTTTCGTGAGTAAAGTAATGGAGCGCTCCCAATTAAAAAAAAGGGAAACAAAACAACAGTATGTTGTTCCCCTATCTAGAGGATATAAAGACAACCATCTTGTTTTGACCCCCAACTTGCCTAGTAATAATGCCTCTAACTGAGATGTTTCTTCGTGAAGGAATCTCACAATTGGAATTTATCTAAATCCCCATAATCTGAAAATATGTTGTATGCATCTCTTTCTTTTTCTGTTTTTAGTTACGTAATATTTTATACGTATGTATCAGTTTAACGCTAATCCTGTTTGTTTGGCTTGCATTTTACATCTCCGATTCATCATGGATCAGTATGATATTGCAGAATCATAATAACACTAATAATAAAAAAATTATAGATCACATATCAACTTATCCACGGGATCATATGCAGTCTGTTGTATATAGGAAAAATATTGCTGCGATACCAACAACAGCAATATCCAATAATGTTGTATCCAGTTATCATGTCTATGGTGTTGTCTTCGACGCTGGGAGTACGGGGAGTCGTGTTCATATATTTAAATTATTATATAATCCTTTGGGTAGGTTTAAAAATCTATGCTGTAAATATAATTTATTTAGTTCCCTCCTCTTCACCACATGATCTGTCCACTTTACCCAGAACTACACCCAGTTTGTCACTTACTTCACATCCGCGAGCCACCTGCGTGATGGTACGCAATATTTGCCTCAGCATGTCTGTCTGATCCCTCCATCTCCAATTCCCTCCGCATGTTTCCTAAATGATAAGTTCTTTGTTAGTTCGCTTGCATTTAGAGTACTTGGTTGCCTATTCTTTCAGGTCGAATCTTGTTCCTTATACTGAGTTAGTGCAGTAGATTTCCGGACTGTATTCAGAGTAGTGAAAATTAATCTGGTGCCCACTAGTGTTTGACTAGCTGTAGGACGAAGTTGCCTTAAGTTCTAGTGAGAAGTCCCGACCGAAAGCTGCTACCTTGACGTGGTGGTCGGGCTTGAACACCGCAATGATCTACTCAAGCTATACTGGCTGAGACTTATGTCTCTTGAGGTCCTACCATGCCAGGCAGGTTGTTTGGATAGCGGTTAAACAAAAAGCAGCTACCCAATCCAACATCATGACCAATACAAAATCACAAAATTTCATGCCGGATCGGCCGTGGCCCGGATTAACAACGACCGCGCTTCCTGCTGCCGTGTCACAGGGCAGGAGTGATAAGTATGCTACTGAGGCACACCAAACAAAAGAGAACGAACAAAAACAGGCCGCGTGTGACCGGCCTCAAGCAGTTGTCCCCTGGGCTCTGCGGTCACGCAACCAACTTCCACGGTGTGGGCAGCCGGGAAGTAACAATCGCCCTCACAATCCGAAACGCACGCAAAACCTCTCTACTACTCACTCATCTTTTTTTTCATCTTCATCTCTATCATCTTGCCTTCCTTCCACTGATGCAACTCTTCGACTTGATAGCTCTCCACTTCCTCTCCACTCTGCGTCCACTAAAAACGATGGAAGCCAAAAAACCACCACCGACAGCCTCTTAAAGCCGCGCCACCAATTTCATATAGGAGCTCTTAATGTTAGGACACTTTGCCAAATAGGACAACAAGCATCACTAGCTAAGACCCTGGCATCCCGAGCCATTGATGTATGTTGTGTTTCAGAAACACGCATACAAGACCCAAGCGTGGTTATTCACCTAACCCCACCTGACCAACAGGATGAATCTGCGAACTTCACCTTGAGGGTGTCAGGAGATGCCACAGCTAGTTCACGAGGATTAGCTGGCGTAGGGATAGCTTTGAGTACTAGGGCAGAAAAGACATTACTTGACTGGATCCCAGTAGATAGCCGAATGTGTGCTGTCCGTCTGAACGGATCAGTAAGAAGGAGAAAAGACTGCACTACTCGCCGATGTCTTTTCGTAATCTCCGCCTACGCCCCCACTGACTGCAGTTCAGATGAAACGAAGGATGAGTTCTACCAAAAGCTGTCTAGTTTGGTGCGAAAGGCTAAACGCTCAGACATAGTCGTTCTAGCTGGTGACTTTAATGCTCAAGTAGGGAAATTGTGTCAATCTGAGAAGGTTATCGGTGGCACCTATGGAGTTCCGTGCCAGCGAACCGACAAAGGTGACCGTCTCCTACAGTTTTGCTCTGATAATCATTTGTTTCTCGTAAGCACTAACTTCAAACACAAGGAGAGACACTGTTTGACTTGGAGACCCCCTTCATCTAACCAACGCTGGACAAAAATAGATCACATAGCAATAAGCTATCGTTGGCGTGGGTCGGTAGGAGATTGTCGCTCCTTCTGGAACACGTGTGTAGATACCGACCATGCACTGGTCCGCGCTTGGGTGTGCTTACGACTGAACGGACGTAGGAAACAGCTGGCGGTAAAACCATCACGTCCCCAGCTCGATCAGGAAACTAAATCCGTATTTGAGGAAGAACTAGCTAAACACATATCTGTGTTCGACAGCTGTGCTCACCCTGAAGAACATTGGAAAAATATCCAGGCAGCCATAGATACAGCTGTAAAAGCTGTGAATAAGTTAAACCCAAAGGTGGGTAAAAACCACTGGATCTCCACCGCCTCATCCGAACTGATAGATGCTAGAAGACTTATTCTGGCGAGCTCCGAATTCAATGAGGAGCGAAAGCAGCACAAGAGGAAACTTACGAAAAGTCTCCGCAAGGACCGTGAACAGTGGTGGGTGACAAAAGCCAAAGAGATGGAGAAAGCTTCGAGGATAGGCAACACCAGGCAACTATTTAGACTCATCAGGGAAACGGGTGGGAGAAGACAAATCATTAGTGAAACAATCTCGGAGAAAAATGGCACTATAATTAGCTCCCAGGATAGACGACTGGATCGTTGGAAAGAGCATTATGAGGAGCAGTTTAATTGGCCCATAGCCACGCTCAACCTGCCGAACATCCAACACCTCCCTGAATGGGATATAGACACAGGTCATCCATCCCTAACTGAGGTTACTAAAGCTGTCACCAATCTGAAACTAGGCAAAGCAGCGGGACCTGATGGAATGACTCCAGAGGTGTTTAAGTACGGTGGAGACAGATTACTGTCTGCATTAACTGAGGTACTAGGCAGCGTCTGGGAATCAGAAGTCCCATCGGGTTGGTGTAAGTCACTGATTATCCCCATATACAAGAAGGGAGACAAGTCTTCCTGTGATAATCACAGAGGGATTAGCTTGACTAATATAGTATAGATGAAAGCCCTATGTTCCTCTAGGAACTAAAGGATACAATAATAATAATAATAATAAATAATATAGTATCTAAAGTCTTAGGCTTAATAATCATGCGTAGACTAAGTGGTGCTCGGGAGGCACAAACACGAGAGAGCCAGGCAGGCTTTAGACCAGGGAGAGGGTGTATTGATCACATCTTCACCCTCCGACAGATTCTAGAACATAGGAATTCCTACCGGCGTCCAACAGTCATTATATTTCTTGACCTAAAGGCAGCATTCGACTCTGTCGATCGAGAAGTTCTCTGGAGATGCTTGGCTGTAAAGGGAATTCCGAGAAAATATATTGCACTGATTAAGGAACTCTACTCGTACTCATACAGCCAGGTGAGGGCTTACGGCGAGCTGTCATCTGAACTGGTGACGACCAGTAGTGTCCGTCGAGGATGCCCATTATCTCCTTTTCTATTCAACTTCATCATAGATGTGTTAATGGACTTAACCCTAGGTGACTTCAGTGAATCAGGGATTGACTTGCTACCGGGGAATAATCTCGTTGACTTGGAATATGCAGACGATATAGTCCTTCTAGGCGAAGACGCTGACGAAATGCAGAGTCTTCTAAACACCTTGAGCTGTAATCTACGAATGTTTGGCATGCGATTCGCTCCCGCCAAACGCAAGATGATGTTACAGGACTGGACTACATCGACGCCTAGTTTAAAAATAGGAAGTGAAGTGGTAGAGCACGTTGACCGCTTCACTTATTTGGGAAGTACCATCAGCCAACGCCAACGGGTTGATCTCTGACGAAATCTCAGCACGAATACAGGGGGCTCGTTTCGCATTTGCCAGTTTACGCCGACTCTGGCGTAGACGAGATGTTCGACTATCGACCAAAGGGCGGGTGTACTGCTCATCAGTCCGCTCCGTCCTCCTTTATGGTTGTGAGACCTGGCCACTGAGAGTGGAAGACATGAAAAGACTAGCTGTCTTTGATCATAGGTGCCTGCGCTTTATTTCCCGTGTAAAGTGGCATAATAAGGTGAGCAACATTGAAGTTAGGCGTCGAGTGCTAGGTAAACAGGGGAAATCAATCGACGAAGTGGTGAAGTTACAAAGACTGAGATGGTTAGGACATTTGTTACGTATGCCTAGTCATCGCCTTCCTCGACGAGCAATGTTAGCGGATATAGGGTCAGGCCGGAAAAAAGCTAGCGGAGGTCAAAAAAAAACTTGGCACCAGTCAATGAAATCCACAACAGTTGGTCTAAGCCACGTAGGAAGGTGTAGACTTCATAGCTGGTTGGGGTCCTCGGGACGGTAAAAATCTATGGTTGGAAACAATTGGTGACATGGCTGAAAATCGTTCTCAGTGGCGCAGATGCATCCACTCCTTGTGACTTATGATCTCCAATGAAACTGTTTTGTTCTTCGTTATTACTCCTCCTTTGTCTCACACCTCTGCTCACTGTTTCTATTATGCTTTTCTTGTACTTTCTTCTCTTGCTTCGCGTGCTACACGGAGTGTGGCGACTTGAACTTCCGCACATATGTGCAAAGTTCTATGTCGAAAACAGACAGACAGACTAGTGAGTAGTCGTAACCAGCAGGTGCCATGTGGTAGGGACGGGGAGAAAATACTCGCCGCGGATGACATTGGCTGGTGGTCACGCTAAAATCATAAATTGGTAGGAGTTAGAATTCATCAGCTGACCAATCAGTTGGGTTCCAGTGGCTGAATAGTCTATCGGCGCTCGTCTTCTAACCGGAAGGTACTGAATTGGAACCCTGGCGGTGGGTGCGTACCACCAATGAGTCCCGAACTAGGAGGAAACAGCTCTGAGGTAATCCAGTGCTGATTTTCAACGCTTCTCTAAGCGATATCAATCTCCGGTCAAAATTTGAAACAAATCAAATCCCCACAAACTAACGCTTGAGAAATAATGAAGTTCTGTCTTGCTTCTCTGACCCTGATTAGCTGTCTCTAATATCCTCATCTGTTCCGTCACCTGTAGTTGAAACGATGCCGCCTAGTCGAGGTTATGAAGTGCGTCATTTTCCTTTAGATTTCTACTGGTGGTGATAATGATTGTTGTGAACTTTTCTTTTAATACGAATCTAATCATATTCATATCTCTACCGCTATTAACACTCTTTTTTCCTTTATATGTTTAAGCCATTCCGGCTTCATTGTAAAATGAATAAAGCCTAAATTCTTGGTTCATTCGTCTTTTCAAGATTCAAGCATCACTCATCGTTCTAAGACTCAATCACCTTCGTAACAATTTATTCATTTTACAATATTCATGGAACGATTTTTCCGACCTGATCGGTTCGACG